AGAGAGAGAGAGAGAGAGAGAGAGAGAGAGAGAGAGAGAGAGAGAGAGAGAGAGAGAGAGAGAGAGACATGAAACAAAAGTAAAACGCCATCAGCGAGTGTTGCTGTGGGCCACGGCGTAGCCGTGGCGGGTTCCACTTGTCTTGTTTTCACAAAGAGAGGAAGGTCCGTGTAAGGCCAAAAGAAAGACACGAGATCACCAGCGGACTGCATGTGCACGTAAACAGAAAACGTACAAAAAATAAAAATAAAAAATCAGAGCAAAACACAATTGTGCCATGGTGGATTTCTGATGACTCAAACACATGACTCTGTTTGAGAGTGTGTGTGTGTGTGTGTGTGTGTGTGTGTGTGTGAGAGAGAGAGAGAGAGAGAGAGAGAGAGAGAGAGAGAGAGAGAGAGAGAGAGAGAGTGGGAGAAAGACACAGAGATGTGCAGAAACACAGAAACAAAGAGACAACAAAATAATATCATGTCACCTCGCTGCCATGGCAGCACAAAACCGGGAGATGACTTTGTGTTGACTTCAAGCATATGTATTTCTTGCCAGTGGATTTGTGATGACTCAAATCACATGACTCTGTATGCACATGTCAATTCCCTGCTACTGTGCACTGTGCACACCATGAGCTCACACCACCCTCTCGCCCCATTGCACGGTCGTGGTGGGTCGACTTGTTCAATTAAAATTTTAAAACTAGTAAATTACTGCGTGCTCTCCACGAATGCAGTATGACCCCACAATCAGAAAATACCAGTGTCTCTCTCTCTCTCTCTCTCTCTCTCTCTCTCTCTCTCGCGCGCGCGCGCGCGCGCGCGCGCGCGCACGCCCTCTCTCTCTGTGGGCACTTTCTGGCACGCCGCGATGGGCTGGGTGGACCTCCCACTGCGGACTTCTTAACACGGGCTATGAGTCCACTTTGTGCAAGGGTTGGTACCTGGAAATATAGAGTGGAATGTGGTTTCCGTTGATAATCCAGTTCGAGACAGAAAGTCACAGCAATTCTCAGATGGCTCCAGAGGATCGGCTGATACGGACCAGGGTCCATCGTATGTCATGTGGCTCCCTGAGGAGGCCATTGTCAGCGATGGCCGAAGCACATAGGGGAAATGTGGATGGATGTTTTGGCGTTCCACGGAATCCACTGTAATTTAATCTACATCTGGATTTTTCACTCAAGTAGGCCTTTCATCGGAGTGAATCTGGCTCCATAAAGAGTCCATATGCTTGGATACGAAATCATACGATTGTTTGATTGCGCCACGTTCCACTGCCAGTGTTTGTTGATGTTCTGAATGACATGTGGCTCTGAATTTGTGAACATCATAAATGAGGACTGAATTCATTGCGGACGAGAAGCTGCGTTTGGAGGGTTGGGTACATCTGTTCGAGTTCATGAATCATAAAAGTCTTGTGTGTTGCAACTGCTTCTTTGCAGAACATTCCCATCATGTGCGTTGCTACGGCGGCATGCTCCTCCCAGTTCAGATGCATTTAGCCGATTGCTGGAGGTATTGTTTTTTTTCACCTTTTTTTAATTTCTTCATGATAGATAGCCCCCAGCGTTGGCCCAATGTTTGTTGAATCCATCAGGATTTGAACTTAACCGTATGTGCATTCTTCCGCCCCAAGGCAGGTGCATTCCTGGAACTAATTTCATGATCCTCAGATTTATCATTATTGGCCATTGGCTCAGTAGTATTGATATAACTGAACCATACATGCAAGCGCACGTCGTGCGGGCGGTTCCCTACATGCGGCGCACGTGCCCAACCGATCCCGTGCGGCGCACACGTGTGCAGAGAACGACCCGTCACCCCCCCGCCAAAATTATAAGCGAGATGAAAAAAAAAATTACAGGAGTACTGCCTCACCTTGCTCCTCCTCCCCTTCCTCATCCTCCATGTCTCCTCCTCCCTTCTCCTTTTCGTCTCCTCGTCCTCCTCGTCCTCCTCCTCCTCCTCCTCCTCCTCCTCCTCCTCCTCCTCCTGCCCTTCCTCATCCTCCTTGTCTCCTCCTCCTCCTCGTACGTCCTCATCTTCCATGCCTCCTCGTCTCCTTCCCTTCCTCGCCGTCCATGTCTTCTCCTCCCACTCCTCCTCCTCCTCCTGCCCTTCCTCTTTTCCCTCCATCCATCTCTTCTCCTCCCCCATTTCCACTCCTCCTCCTTGTTGTCCTCACTATCCTCGTCGTCCTCCTCGTCCACATCCTCCTCCCCCTCTCCATATCCCCCTCTCCTTGCCATATCCCCATACCTGTCATACGCCCCCCCGTTCCCCGTCCCAAAAAAAAATAAAATAATAATAATAATAAAAAAAAACCTGCACGATTCCGCACATGCACCCCCTGCACGGAACTCCGCACAGAACTCCGCACGAATGTGCGGCTCGTGCGGTTGCAAGTATGAAGTACTAGGAACTGAACACATGTTCAAGCGTAAAAGAGTGGAGGAGAGCCAGGTCGATCTGAAGGAGGGGTGGGCTCAATTTTATGTTCTCGAGTACTATGTAGGATTTGGTGAGAGAGAAGGTATGACACTATCTCTGGACAAAAGGTAAAGATGAGGTGCTGGGAAGGTCATCTCTCCGGAGGATCGCTTTTGATGTAGGGCAATTTGGGCAGGACGAGAGGATTGAAGGGTTATCTTGTTGAAGGGGAAGGGTGCTGCCACTGAAAAGGCTAGAATAGGGAAGCGTAAATGGATCATTTTTGGAATCATGGCTCCTACCCAACCTTAACACTAGGATGATAGGATCCCTGTTCCTGCTTATTTGAATTCTGAAGTTGACCTCAAATTAGGGAAAAGTGCATTAATGGTCTGCTCAGGTTTGTAAATGTGAAGCTAACCTAGTCAGACTGCACCTGGATGTGCACACGCCCAGGTGCATGATCTGCACCTGGGCCTTCAACCAGGGTAATTTTGACCGTCTTTGCTTCCAAACCTGAAGGGGCCGTTTCTGTCCTTCACCCTCGAAATAAAACTGTCCCTGCCACTGTTATTTGGAAGACAACTGTTTCCTACCTCAGCTTACTGAAAAGAAAACTATCACTTACAATCTTGTTTTCCTCTGAGAAGCAGGCCATTCTCATGCCCATTTTTTTCTTCTTCTTTTTCTGTTTTAAGGTAGTATTCATAGAACTGGAAAGCGGGTCCGGTGTCTCCTACATCCACAGCACTGCCCCTTGTTATGGTCAAGGGCCCCTGAGACAGCATCATTGATTGCTTCCTTTATGAGGAAGGATATACTACCGGCCCTGGGACAGCAGTGTTGATTACTTTCTTTATGAGGAAGAATATACTACCGTTCCACTTCCACTTTCCACGCCATTGCCTAACTTACTCCGTGGCAAAAGCCACCTTCAGCTGTCTTATACATCCTCTGTCTGGGTGGTCCCTCTCGGACCCTAAATTGACGAAGCAAAAGTTGCCTTTTCCCGAGCCTGCATGCTGCAGTAATGGGCAAAGAAGAAAAATCTTGCGGTACCAGTACTGGTCTCTGTCTTTTGGACCTGAGATTCAAAAGACAGCCCGTGAACGGATCATTATTGCACAACTGTTCTTTATTTTCCATGTTTTTTTTTTCCCCTTATTTAATTTCGATGTTTTCACATTGGCGACCCAAACACAACTGACCCTCATAATGGCTGTACCGGACGGGAAAGATAGCCATGTCATCTCACTCACATCATCACTCATGCACCCAATAATTACCATGCCTCCAGCTGCAGCCCCCTCTAGCCAAGTACCGACTATCTTCAATACAGCACGATCGTACTCACACTGCATTGGGCCAACCCACGTGCACCGAAGAAACAGATAGCACTGGGGCGAAAAGGAGTTAGCCTACGAACCGGCTCCGATACCGAATGGCAAGGAAATGAACAGCACAAATGACAATAAAGTTAATTCCGGAGCAAATACGGGGCATACAAAAGGAAATCGGACCAATATGGTCTAGAAGGAAGCGTCTCCCTGCCAATCTCATAATGGCCCATCGAAGGACAGCATTGAAGGACTGAGGGTTTAGGGTTTAAGAAGAAATGTTAGTTTATTCAAAGGGACTGGAAGACTAATTGAGAAGGAAACAGGTCGGTAAGGTTTAATGGAGGGACTCTTTCTAGGATTACTGAGGATATCTGACAGATCTGGATTCCAGGTCTGAGAGGAGAGAGAGGGATAAAGCAAGCTGACAGTCAATCCTCCACTGTCGTGGAGCAATCAATGCTGTTCAGGGGTCCTTCGGCCGGACGGAAGGAAGCGTGAGTGAGTTCTCTTGATGTAATACCCTTTTGGCTTGCCGGTGAAATAGGAACCGGACTGACGCTCCCCAGAATAGAATGGAGCCAGGCCCGTAAGGTCCTGTTTAAAAAAAAAAAAAAAAAAAAAAAAAGGTCAATAAATTGCTAGGCTTCCTGAGCCGCCCGGCCAGGTGGGCACAGTCGTGCACCCGTGCAGGCTGCACGGGCGGGCGGCTGCACAGGTCACCTGTGCGAGCTATTTTTTATTTAAAAGATGGAGAGAGGAGGGCGGGAGATGGCGGGCGGGAGGTTGGAGGTGGCAAAAGGGAGGTAGAAGGTGCATGCGGGAAGGTGGGAGATGGCTGGATTGAGGTAGGAGGTGGCAGGAGTTAAGTGGGAGATGGCGAAAGAGAGGGAGGTGGGAGATGGGGGGAGGGAGTTGGAAGAAGGAGAGAGGGAAGTGGGAGATGGTGGGAGGGGAGGTAGGAGGTGGCGGGAAGGAGGCGGAGGATTGGTGGGAGGGAGGCGGAGGATGGTGGGAGGGACGTGGGAGATAGTGGGATGGTTAGTGGGAGGGTTAGTGGGAGGTAGCGGGAGGGGTAGTGGGAGGTAGCAGGAGATGGCAGAATAGCAGGAACGGAGTGGCGAGAGGGAGGTGGACGATGGCGGAAGAGAAGGAACAAAGTGGCGGGAGAGAAGTGGAGGACGACGAGCACATGGAGAAATTGAACGGAGAAGAAGACGAAGGACGAGGAGGAGGAGGAGCAGCGGGTGGAGAAGTTCAACGAAGAAGAAGAAGAAGAAGACCACTTACCTTCGCTTCATGGGACCAGCAACAGCCCTGGGCAGCCGCGACAGCCCTGGGGAGCGGCGAAGGACTGGTGAAGGCCCTGGGGAGCAGTGAAGAACAGCGCCGATGACCCCGGGAAGATGCGTCGGGGAGCAGCTACGGCCGTGGGAGGTGGGCAATGACGCGACCTGACCGACAACGGCGACGACGACGACGAAATGGCGGGCGGAGTGGCAACACGGGGGAACCCCGTCCTCAGGCCCACGCAGTTCAAAATTTCGAACTCGATTTCAAAAATGCGTGGGTCCTGGGGACATCCTCGATGAATCTCCGCCGTAGATCTTCGAAGATCTACAGCTGAGATCTCGAGTCCAAGATCAATTTTTTTAAGCCTCCCCAGCGCGCCAAACAAAAAATTCGACGTGTGGGGGGGCCTTTAAAAATTTGCGCGGTGCCGGAACTGGGCCCGCCGTCCCCAGAACTGCCCCCCAAGCACACCTCGGAGGGGCCGCACGGCGCCCGTATGGGGGACCCGCACGGCGCCCGTATGGGGGACCCGCACGGCCGTGCGCCCGTGCAATGATCCATGCGTGCCGGGGGTACCCGTGCGCACGGAAATGAAGCCTAGATAAATTGTATGAAAACTTTTATTTTTCCATGTATAATCCAAATACAATGAGTAGTTTTCTGTTCTAAAAATAAAAAAGTCGATTCACTCACAGTACCGAAGCTTGTCAGCTGCATTAATTTAATTAACAAAAAACAAAACCACACATATATGCCTACAATGAATCAATTGATTCGCCATGGTAGAGAATCAAATCGACACAAGCACATCAATGTCGACGTATCCATCAATGATTGGGGGGCAGCATTGACCTCCTTAAAGAAAACTCCTCTGTCTTAAAGAAGTTTGGGGTTTTGACTCTTGAGGCACGTATGTTGTTTTGAGGTCTTCTTGCGACATTTTTCCTCTCAAGGAACCAGGGAACCCAGCAAGTTTCCTTAACACAGAATGCAGAGCAGAAGGTACCTTCAAAACAAGCACCCTGCGAAGAGTAAGAGTTATTGAAGGGGAAAGAAACAGGGTTTTCAAACCACAGTCAGGTATACAACAACTCGAAATAGATCCGACAGAATGGACCTGGAGCACCCCCATCCGTGGAGCCACTATACCACGGCTCTACAAAATAACTGACTACACCCCCAGACTAGGCTACAATCTCTTTTCCAAACCCATCTCAATAACCAATATCCTGTAAAAAAGATGGACAAAAGAAAAACCCACTATAACAGACCCACAAGTAACCATACCCTGGTCATTTATCTTCTGCACTAAACAGGTCAAACTAGCCAATCTACTTTGGTTAATTGCATACAGGGCAGTACCAGTCAACCACTGGTTGGCACAAAGGCACAATAAGACAAACCAAACAGACCAAGATTCTTGGTGCAAAGTCTGCAACCAACAGAGACCGGAAACACTTAACCACTGCTTCATCGATTGCCCAAAAGCCAGAATCATATGGCAAGAGATGGAAACCATATGGAAATCCTTCTCTAACAAGCCCGTCACAATAAGCCCCGCCACAATCTTTCTCGACACAGATCAGAACCCGCCCCTCAAAGGCTTCAAAGCTTTCTTCTTCATAATTACCAAGAAGGGAATCATCTGGGGCCTATGGAAAAGAAGGTGTGAACTAACCTTTGGCAATAGCCCTATCACACCCGAGAACCCACTCATCACAATAAAGCTTACAATAGAAACGGAGCTACACGTTCTCTGGACCAAAACCCTAAAACAAATAAATAGTGCCCCCGACAAAAAAACCGTATTAATTCACAAATTCTCAACTGCAAAACTAGGATCAGGCCTTTTAGGAGAAATAAAAAACGACTATTTAGTCCTCAAAAACTGGCTAACACTACCACCAGTGCAGATCACGTTTCCACCTCACCCCCCACCATCATTCCATCCCCTATCACAGTCAAATCTGCACATTCATTCCAACACCCTCACTCCACATCATACCGCCTAACCCAGTCCCTCCCCTTCCACAGTCCCCGCTCCATCTCACACTCAACCTCACTTCCCTGGATAAATAAATAAAAAAAGGTACAGACAGCCTTACATGCCCTCCAGCACCCCCCACCCCTCCATCTCCCACCCCACTGAAGAATCATACCACCCCCACCTAGCCGTCCCATACCTACTATGCTCCCCATCTCTCCTAACACCCTTCCCCCAACACTATACCCCCCACCATAAGTAGATAAGGGATGAGGGTTTAGGGTTTTAGCGTTGGAAAGATAAGCAACTTGTTAAAAAATAAAAGCCTAAAACACAGTACCCCCTTCGACCCCATCCTGGTCAAACTCGAGGAAAAAGCAAAACTCAGCGATGGCTTGACATGGAGGGCATGGGACTCGATCACAATGCTCCCGCACAATGTGCTGAACGGAAGATTCAGCACGACTGACATCATCGCTGACTCGCTGGCAGACATCATCAGAACCCATCTCCCGACATCCAGGACTTCGCTGCAAGATGAGGCGACCCCCATCTACGTGGAGATGGGGAATGAGGAAGTGGACATGGCAAATGAAGAAGAAGAGGACTTAGGTTTGGGAGACAAACTCTCCCCCGGGGGAGAGGACGAGGAGCCGCACCCGGTAACAGAGAGCAGTGCAGCGGAATACAGCATGGGCGCCACAGCATCGAAGGAGGACAGCAGAGACTCGGACTCCGAGAGCAGCAAGGCCCAGGCTGCAGTGGACTGAAAAAACCACTTCAACGGATAGTAAAATATCACCTCACAAACCAAACGAACGAACGACAACTGAGATAAGAAGGTAACCGGGAAGAAAAAATATAAAAAATTAAAATTAAAAAAATTAAAAAATATATATAAAAAAATCAGATGCCAATGTATATCACGCAAGAAGCAGAAACGGGCAGGAACGCCCACCTAGGATAAACTGGTATGCAAAGGGGCTCCAGATAGTTAGCTGGAACGTCAACGGTTTGGGAAACATACCAACTCAGGAAGACAAACTCAGGGATATCGGAACAGGCCTGGTGAGTAAGGATCTCCCCAAACCCGACCTCATACTTCTCCAAGAGACCCACCTGTCCAATCTGAACAATCACTCGAAGATACAACAAAGAATGGAAAGAATAATAGGTGGATGTGCTTTCGCATTGTGGTCCAACAAAGAAGGGCAGAGCAACTAAGGGACGACGATACTCATCCCGAAAACTTCCAAAATTCTAGCCGAGGGACAGATCTTGAACAGCGAGGGCGGCAGTGAGGGAGGAAGATGGTCCTGGGTGGACATCAAATGGCAAGAGGAAGATATGTGAATACTCAACCTTTACGCACCGAACACAGAATCCGACAGAATGACTTTCCTCGAGAACATCAAAACTCTCATCCCCAACCCACAGCCTATTGTCATCGCAGGGGACTGGAACACGCCCTGGACCCAAATCTGGACCGGATTTCAAGAGCAGCACTAATGGGACCCACAAGAGCAGGTACCCAGATGCGAAATCTGATGGCAGAGTTCGAACTCATCGACCCTCTCAGATCGCTGCACCCGGATAAAAAAGTGTTCTCCCGGATAAGGAAAAACCAAGCTAACGGGACATCACTGTCCAGGATAGATTATTTCCTCATCTCTGAGAGCTTACTTGGCACAGTCAAAGAGGCCGAAATCCTCCCCTCTGCAGCATTCAAAGGTCTAGACCACAAACCCGTCCAACTGCTGCTCAACTTCAACGTACCAGTGGAAACAAGCCAGGGGTTCTGCAGGCTGGATAACTCCCTCGTAAAAACCGATGGAATGGCCGCATCAGTCAGAGAAAACTGGGCCCTCAACAAACAGAGAGAGTCCAAAAAAACGAACAGCCACCAATGGTTCATCGACAGCTACGCAGACTTGCCACGGACGGTATCAGCGGAATCCCGAGATACCGCCAGAGACCACAAGAGGAGAAGAGAGGAACTCCAATTTGCAATAGTTGTCGCAGAAGCAAACTTGGTAGAAGATCCCTCCAACGGATTCTACCAAGAGCTACTAGACGACACCAAAGAGGAATTGAATGAGTGGAGAAGATGGGAGCTGAGAGGTCTGCAGATCCGAGCTAGGATGACAGACTACGCACTCAATGAATCCATGACAAAATTCTTCTTCTCCAAAATCAAAGCGAACGCAAGGAACAACACGATAGAGGCTCTCCAAGATCCAACAGATTCTAAAACAACAGGCCCCGAGATGGTAAGGATAGCCAAATCATTTTACGCAGACTTATATGAGTCCAAGACACCTTCACGCCTGACCACAGTGAACACAACAGCTCGCCAACTCATGCTCTCGTACCTCGACAGAACCATTTCGACCAGTCAGGCGGAAGGCCTTGACAAGCCCCTGACCCTGTCCGAACTACTCATAGCCTTGACCCAGATGGGAAATGACAAAGCCCCGAGCATCGACGAACTCTCCAAAGAACTCTGGAGCTGCTTCTGGCTGACCCTGGGAGAAGATCTGCTCGACTTCTTCAACGAGAGCATGCGCAGAGGAGGCCTAGGAAAAGAACCGAGCACCAGCGTGGTCTCACTACTGTATAAGAAAGGAAACAAAGAAGACTTGAAGAATTACAGACCCATATCTCTATTAACCACGCCCTACAAAATCCTAGCCAAGGCACTCGCAAACAAAATCACAAAGCTAACAAACAGTTGCTTTCACATCGACCAAGCAGGCTTCATCCCAGGCAGGTATACTTTGGACAACATTATGACCATGAACGAGGCAGCAAAAAAAATCACAGAAAAACGAATGAAAACTGCAATCCTGTTCTTCGATTTCGAGAAAGCCTATGACCAGGTCAATTGGGATTTCCTCCACTCATGCATGGAGAAAATGGGGGTAGGCCCGAACTTCAAGAATTGGGTCAGAGTGCTGTATGCTGATGCAACAGGCAGAGTCCACGTCAACAGAATCCTATCCGACACCTACCCAATCTCGCGATCAGTCAGACAAGGCGACCCATTTGCTCCGCCCATATTTCTCTTCATTATGGAAGCCATAGCCTCCTTCCTCCATAAAGACCCGTCCATCGATCGCCTCACAGAACGGAACTTTAACCCGCTACACGACTTCGCCCTTCCCACTGCACTCATGTTCGCCGACGACCTCATGGTCCTCATCCGCGCCAATAACAGCTCCTTCCAAGCTCTAGTAAGGGCAACGGAGGCTTTCAGACTAGCTTCAGAGATGAGGGTCAACTGGAACAAAACTGAAGGATGGTGGCTAGCAGACGACACCCCTCCCCAACCATCAGACACAACCACAACCATGACATGGACTACGGGAGAACAAGCACTAAGGTTCCTGGGCATCATGATTAACAAGGAAGGGGTATGGCCAGGAATGTGCCAGAACCTAATCGCTAGGGCAATCACCCGCCTGGTCCAATGCAAAAACGCTCAGGCCTCTCTAATCGGACGGGCGATACTAATTAACACAGCGATCTTCTCCACACTGTGGTATATGGCATCCATTTGGTCCCCCCCTGACGACGACATCAAAAAGTTGAAGAACAGGGTAAGATGCTATCTGTGGACAGGCGATCCCAACAAGACCACTTGCATCAACAGGGTAGCATGGAACCACATCACCAGGAGACCACAGGAAGGGGGCCTCGGGATCATCGACCCCAAGTAGGAATCCATAGCACTGCAAATGAAGTGGATCCTCAAGATCCTGACTAGACAGTTCCTCCCATGGACTCAGATGGCGCTAGACGGCATCAGAAAGTTAGCCCCCATTAACTCCCCCCCAAACATGAACGGTCTGTTTTGGCTCATGGCAAAGGACTGGACAATAAAATCGGGCAGGCCACGCAGGAGAAACCCTGCACAGCCTATCACGAACCCCACTCCAACAGCCAGGTCATATTGGACCCCCACCATCAAAGCCTGGCGTAGAATGATGCCAAGCAAACACGGTGCACCAAGAAACAGAGAAGAGGTCCTGAGACAACCTCTATTCTGCAATCCCTGGATCACCGACCCCAGCGGAGCGGAATGGACCCTACGCTCCAAAGACCGTAGGTGGCTATCCTGGGTTGAAAAAGGGGTGTGGCAAGTCAGACACATCTGGGAAGAAGACCAAGGACAATGGACTACTGATCAAGAACTACGCAATGTCCTCAAAGGCTGTCACTCCCTCCCTGATAACCTAACGCTGATCCAGAATAGCATCCCGACACACTGGCTCCCCCTCCTAAGGGATGATTTCTCGTGGAAATTTGGGGACTGGGGTATACTAATATCCCAAACCTAGCCTACCAGAGCATACAGATTCGTCGCTAGAATCAACCCATCTGGCTACCTATCCAAGTTCTACTCGTACCCCGTAGCCAAGCACACCACTAACGAGTTGGAAGTCCATAACAGAGATCCCCAGTGCGATACACTCGATACATTCCGACTGAGGAAAGTGAGGGTCTCAAAAAACAAACCCTGGATACTCTTCTGACCGGACCTCAGCATCTCTGAGCTGGAATTCGACCCGAAGGAATGGGTTTGGAAACAGGGTAAATCAGGGAAAACAAGAAGGATAGACGAATACGAGGCCTACAAACCACAGACCCGGATCCCAGACGAAGGGAAATGGAAGGAAATTCTGAGCCCAGACCCCTCGGCCCCCATATCCATCCCGTGGTCGAAGTTCCTATCCATCAGACCAGCCAGGGTCCGAAGTATGCAATGGCTCATAGCGCATGTCTCTCTGCCAACCAATCAATGGCTCCATAAGAGGAGAAAGCACACAGACCCCAACAGCACCGACCTATGCAAACTCTGCACAGATAACATCCTGGAAGACATACCCCACTGCCTCCTGTACTGTACGGAAGCAGCGTGGATCTGGAACAAAGTACGTAACCTATGGCACATCCTCTTCTCTTCACCCCCCCCGCCTACGACCCCCCTCAACATCCTGCTCCTATCTAACAACACTAACAACCTCAAAGGCGGAGAGGAAGTTTGGTACCATGTTCTCAGAAAGTTGGCTTTGTGGGTGATCTGGAAGAGGAGATGCACCAAGACGATCGAAGGAACCGAGGTGCCAAGGGAAGAAATGTGGGCTCTTCTACTGAGAATGGTGGAAACAGAGATTCGAGCCAGATGGAAGGGATTGACCTTGACGACGAAAGGCAGACCAGAAAAGACAACCACAAAGAGACGGATGTTCATAAGAGACTGGCTTCTACAAGGAAAGATCGCCACAGTGGTGGACAGCAGATTGGCTTGGGAGAAGTGGCACACCACAGGGACAGGGACGTAGAGGAAAACAAACTGAGATTATAATCTCAACAGCAAAGACATCTCTCCTCTTTTCTTGCTTTAAACGTAGTATCTGACAGAGACACAGTCGACTCTGAGAGGGAAAGTGGTAGGGCAAGCTGACAGTCAATCCTCCTAATAAGGAGTAATCAATGTTGGTCAGGGTTCCTTCGGCCGGACGGAAGGAAGCGTGAGGGTGCTCACCATGTATTCCAATTTTTGACTTACCGGTGGAAAGGAACCGGACTGACGCTCCCCAGAATGGATATGCAGTCAGGACCATAAGGACCTGTTTATTCAAAAAAAAAAAAA